TACTGTAGTCAGGTGTTTCTCTCCTATCTGCTAACTCTCAAATAACAGACTCAGAGGCTGAATATGAACTATAAATTTTGGTCAATAGCTCAGGCTTATTACTAGCTAACTCTTACACTTAAATTAATCCATATTTCTTATCTATGCTTTGCCATGTGGCTTGGTGCCTCACTTTCTACATATCCTGCTCCCTTGGCAGCTGGTATCTCTCCTGACTCTGCATTTCCTCCTCCCTGAGTTCTCTGTGTCTGGCTGTCCCACCTAGGCTTCCTGCCTGGCTACCGGCCTATCAGCTTTTATATTAACCAATGAGAGTAATAATACTCACAGTGTACAGAAAGATTGTCCCACAGCATATTACTGTTGCAAAGGAAAAAAGTATATCTATTACTAGCTAGCTTTGTGTGTGACAAGCTAGAGTCATCAGAGAGGAAGGAGCCTCAGTTGAGGAGATGCCTCCATGAGATCCAGCCGTAAGGCATTTTCTTAATTAGCGATCATTGGGAGAGGGCCCAGCCCATGGTGGGTGGAGCCATCCCTGGGCTGGTGGTCCTGGGTTATTTCTAAAAGAAAGCTGGCTGAGCAAGCCAGGGGAAGCAAGTCAATAAGCCTCCGAGAATCCTCTGCAGCCAATGGGAACAAATACAAAGACCCACAGGCAGACATTGTGAAGAGTGTGAGAGACCTTGGAACACCGAGCCCTAAACAGGGGTGTTAAGCACTTGCCAGGCTCAGAGGCTCAGACTTGCAGTCCTGGCACGCAGGCAGGAGGATGATTAGGTGGAGGCTAGCCTGATTTACCTAAGGGACCTTACTTCAAGGAAGTCTCCATCAAATCCCTCCCTTCAGGGCTCAGAGATCCCTGTGGAAAAGGAGGCAGAAAGAGTGTAAGGACCAGAGGGGACAGAGGATGCCTAGGAAACACGGCCCTCTAACAACAGGAGCGAAGCTCGCGTGAACTCAGAGACTGAGGAGGCGTCACAGGGCCTGCCCTTGTCTGCACAAGATCCTCTGCGCGTGTCTATGGCTTCCAGGTAAGTGTTTTTTATGGAATTTCTGGTTGTGTGAATGAGTGGTCTCCGATTCTGGTGCCTTCCCTTGGGCTCTTCTTCTGCGCGTTTGTTTTGTCCAATCCCAATGTGTTAATTTTTGTTTTATCTTTATTAGATTTTATTTCATTATTGTCCCTTAGGAGCCTGCTTGTTTTGGAGCAAGAGACAGAAAAAGAGGGTGCATCTGGATGGGAGGGAGGTGGGAAGGAACTGGGAGGACTGGATGGAAGGGAAACCTTAATCAGAATACGTTTATGTGAGGAAAAAAAATCTTTTCAATAAAAGAAAAAAAATAACATCGTTTTGTACTCTGCAAAGATGACTAGAGCTCACTGCTCAACAGAAACAATAGAACAATGCTAATGATTTAAATATCCCCGTGAGTGACTCCTGAGAGGGCCCTTGAAGTAGGTCTCTTATCTAAATCAGGTCTGGGCCTCTGTGCCTGGCTGGCAAGCGTTTAACTCCGCTGAAATTTTATTCCGTAGGACTGGTCTCTGAATTAATGTGGAAAAACCTCTCTTTTAGGACGCTTCACGTTTGGGGTGCTCGTGGAGCTAGCTGAAGCTGCTGTGTCAGTTAATCCTCAAAAGAGGAGTGTGGTTTAGCCTCTGAGATGCCATAGAAACTGTGGCTCACAGAGTCATGGGGTGCGTGACGGGGAGAACGCACGTGTGAGCCGGTTCCCGCACCCGCCGCCTCCCCACCCACTCCACCCGGCGTCTCAGGTGGTTCAGGCAATGAGCTCTGTGCCCAAGATGAGCAGGTATTTTGCAGACTCAAGTGACTTCTAATGCTAGGTTGGAGCTAGGAACATACCAAGTATTGGGGATGACCTGCCCCGGAATGCATCCCACAGGGGCGTTCATGAGGTCACTGCCCCCCTGAGGTGACCAACTGGCAAATGGAAGGCTCAGTATTTGCCTGGTGCGGTCGTCTCCAGCCACAACAAGTTTTAACTCATCTGAACAGGGCGTCGCCGGAGTCACGACCTCGCCCTGAAGCTGGCTGTGAACTCTGCAGGGCTGGTCTCTGAGTTAATGTGGAAAAACCTCTTTTTTAGGACGCTTCACGTTCGGGGTGCTTGTGGAGCTGAGGCTGCTGCAGGCATGGCCATTGCTGTGTGCCGTGCTTGTATCCGGTCCTGTGAAGGAGACCGCAGCGAGGTGCTTTGGGCTCTGCTTTCCCACCGGCTACCCCAGCCTGGCTACTACGGCTGGGGTTTGACTGGGCCCTAGACAGCTTTGCTTTCTGTATTCAGTCGTGCCGTCATGAGTATCCTGTGTGCGCTTCATGCAGGAGTTGCCACTGCTGTATGAAGTCTGTATAGTTCTTTGACCAGCAAGCAATTTTGTCCCCTACCTCTGGAGTTACGCAGAGCGCATCTTTCAGAGGGTCACATGACTGGACGTCAGTCCTGTCTACTGCTCTATCTCAGCGCCTATCACAGTGCCTGGACTCTAGTAAACGTTTGCTGAATTAATATATAGAAGTGAATCCTCTGAGGTTATTGGCTCAATTCATATTTGCTGAATTGTGGCTCCTGGGCCACATTCGCACAAACCAGGTGTTCTCAAACCATTCACTTATAATGTCAGAATTCTGGAGGCCCCACCTCTACAGCTATGTTTGGGCTTCCTGAATAAAACTTTACAGTTCCACCGCTCAAGGATGGCATCGCTTTAGAAGTACCTCCTTACTGTTGCAGGTGATAAATCCTCCACTCTTCCAGGTCTCCGCTGTGCTTGTTGTGGGCTTTGCGCTCCAGCCTGTGACCTGTTGCATGGGAGTCACGAGGAAAGGCATCGTGACAGTGGGAAGCGTGGGAAGTAGGAAGGGCTGCCTGACTCGGCACCGGGACTCTCTGCAGACCCCGGGTCTGCCTGCTGTGTTCGTTATCTAGTTCATAGGAAGGAGAGTCGGGGAAAGGACAGCCGTACGGCATGCTTTCTACCCATAGGGTACCAAGAACACTTTTGGGGGACCCATTTCTTTCTAACAGTGTGGGTGAGTAAATCTTCCACTTGGCAACCAGCTTAACTGCTCCCTGGTCTTGCTGATGGGAAAGTGGGGGAGGGGTGGAGGAGCAGAAAAGTCTTTATGGACTTGTGGGGGTCTAAGGAAGTAGGAGGCAATCTGCAAAGAGCCGGAGTTAGGTATAGAAAAGGTCAGAGGGGCAGACTCCGCTTTAGGCTACTTGCTAGTTAGGGTACCTATCACAATGATAATGCACCAAGTCCTCAGGGGAGGAAAGGGTTTGTTTCAGCACACAGCGGTAGCCTATCATCTGTGAAAGCCATAGCAGGAACTCAGGGCAGGAACCCAGAGGCTGGTCTGGAATTCACCACGCCCACCTTATGCAACATTGGGGTTCAAACCCAGAGGCTTGTGCCGGCTAGGGAAGTTCTCTTCTGGGTGCGCTGTATCCCCAGCCTGGGCCTTAAAACACACCACCCAACTTACGAGGCGGTGCTGAAAATGAAGCGAGGCAATATATTCATTTCCTGTGCTTTTGCCATCCTGTGTTGTTTTCCCAGGCCCGTATGGCTTGCATGTGAAGAACAAATCCTGGGCCAGTGAGATGGCTCAGCTGGGTTAAGGAACCAAGTTAGGAGATAACTGGCTGACCTGCACAAGTTGTCCCTTAACCTCCACACATTCACGGAGTGTGCGTGCACCCCTACCAACGCTCATACAAAATAAATAATAACTAAAAAAAGGTCAAATTCTGTCCCCTGAACACTTGCTGTATCGCAACAGTAATCGCTAGACTACCTGCTCACTGTGAACCAGGCACTCTGTTAAGCACCGCCCACATCACTCTCAGTACAGTTTCCTGTGAGGAACCGACTCACACTTAGCCTCTGAGTACACAGAAGGTGCTCAATAAATGTTTGCCATAGGCATGGTGGTGCATGCCTGGGATCCCACTCAAGTAAAGACGGGGTCTGCCTCCAGTTTAAGGCTAGCTCAGTCTACACAGCAGGTTCCAGACCAGCCTAGGAGTATCTAAGACCCTGTCTCAAGTAAAATAAAATGTCTGGATGAATTCAGCAAATTACTCAAGTCACGGATCTATTCCAAGCAATGTGTTCCTCAAGGCCAGGGATTTCATACGCCCAGGTGTTCACTCTTTGTCCCCGACTTCCATCGTTATCCCATCTGTTCATTCTCTGAGCTTCCCCTTCCCCAGGTAAAGAGTAAGCCTCTGGGGCTTGGCAGTGGTCCGCACCGGGGTACATCTGTCCAGAGGCAGGACTGGTGCCAGCGATCGGGTGCGGCTGCTCAGGGGGTGTAAGTGTCTGGGAAGGAAGGAGCTGGAATTCTGAGGTACCCCATTCAAAGCAGATGTGACAGTACCAGTGCTGGCCCAGGACACCTGACCCAAACTTCTCTCTGGACTAAGATGTGTGTGTGTGTGTGTGTGTGTGTGGCAGAAACCAGCCTGGAATCCAGCCTGACCCCAAAGGAAGTCTGTGGGGCAAAGTGGGTTACTGCCAAGCTCCAAGGTGCCTCGGGGTCCTCTAGTTTGCACTTCAGGGGTGGGGGATGGGGGTGGGAATAGAGAGTTGTGGCAGGGGGTCATGGAAGTGACAGGCAATTATATCCAGGGACAGCGCTCCTATAGCTCAACTTGAAAGCTGTACTCATGACTTCTGTGTCTGTAAGTCTCGAAAGGAGAGGCACCTCCAGGCCCCTCTATCACAGATGGGTGTGATGAATGACCTTGACCTGTGGGGCCCAGGGCAGCCTGGCCACACGTAATGGGGGCCCAGGCACGTGGCCACGACAGGTGTTAGGTATATTCTTCAGACGAGCCTCTCCGCCGACGCAAATAATTCCAATCAGACCAAATTAGACCAAATAAAAGATGCCCATATTTAATGCAGTACTCGGACAGCTGGGGTCATGGCGGAGGGGGGGGGGCGGGGGAGAGACAAGGGGGAGACCACGCGAAACCTGAGACCACCTGTTCCTCTTTTGGGCGGCAGCCTAAATAGCCTGTGGGAGTGGTCCACCGCTAGGCGGGCTTTTTGGCCCTTCCTGGGGGAGGGTCACTGCTTGGTGGGTTTTCCTGGAGGTGGAGTCCGGACCAAGGCGACTCCCAGGGAAAGGGGGCTTCCAAAGATGGATGCTGGGTATTACATTCCAGACTCTTTGTGTAAGGGGTGACAGGGAGCTGAGGAGATGCTAATGACCAACAGCAGGTAGCACCAGGTTCCAGGAAAAGCCCCAAGCTGAAACCACACAGGGAGGATCGGCATTTAAAGGGTGCCTGATGGTCCAACCATTAGATAAGATTAGATAAGATCACCGGGTGTCCCTGAGCCCAGGACTCACCTGTTCCCCTTTTGCCAAGACCCCTGGAAAATGTCAGCCAATCAGCGTCCTGAACCCTGGAAATCCCCTCACCCCAACCTCTACTATGATGAAAACCCTACTCCAACTGGGCTGGGCACTCTCTGCTCTCCAGACAGATGGAGAGCCCAAGCTTATGCTTGAATAAAGGCTCTTTGATTTTTTTTTTCCCAAGACAGGGTTTCCCTGTAGCTTTGGAGCCTGTCTTGGAACTAGCTCTTGTAGACCAGACTGGCCTCCAACTCACAGAGATCCGCCTGCCTCTACCTCTACCAGGATGAGATTAAAGGGTGTGTCACCACACCCAGGTCACACACATGATTTTTAAAAGTTAAAAAAGAGAAACGCATGTGACCTGTCACCACGCTGCCCTTGCTACTGTGGACTGGTCCTCTCACCATGAGGACATCATGGCTCTCATCATGAGAGCCACTGTGAGCCAGAAGAAACCCTTAATCCCTTCGGTTGCCCCATCGTCCCAGTGAGAAGGATGACCGATATGCCTTCTTCCACTATTTCCGTCTGTCTGTCTGCTTGGCTTACTGCTCCTCCCGCTGAGCTTCCTGAGCCCCTGGACTACACCCTGACCTGAAAGGTTACTGTGTGATCAGAAGCTGTTTCTCTGCCTGGGACAGAGCGCTGTGGAGAGGGAGCCACTTGCAGGGGTGAGGGGTGAGGACAAGTAGGATGAGCATGCAAGTGACCACGTGACCATCATGTGCTGCTGCCTAAGCAAGTTTCTATGTGTCAAGTTTCTAAATGTCTTAAAGTAGAAACTGAATCCCACATAGCCTCATGAGATGGTCCCGTTACCTCTGTTTTACAGGGAGGAAGTGGAGATGCAGAGCTGCTTTGTGTCTAAGTTTGCACAGCAGTTGAGTGACAAAGTTGACTTTCAAGCCTAGTGGGCTAGTCCCTGACCTCATACGAGTGTTTTTCTGAGGACCTGGACATGGTCTGTTATTCCTATGGGCTGCTAGAACAATATGAATGCCTGTCTTTGGAACAAGTATCTCTGAGAAACAGTATTCACAGGCATGACTCTATGAACAACTAGCCACCAAGTAGAGGCTTTCTAGGCTGCAGAAACGACTGTCTGGGGCCTAGAAACATGTGGCCATCTCCCCCAGGGTCTCCTGAGGGTTGTGGTATCATGAAAGAGAGACTTTAGCCAAGGTCTCAGTAACCACCTGTGCCTTGCATGAACCCTCAGCAGACTTTGTCACCACAACACATTTACTGTTGGAGACTCACTAGTCTCGGCTGAGCAACCAGGCCTCTCCCTTGGCAGCTGCAGTCTCTCTGGTTTCCTCTGTGAATCTCTTGTGCATTGCCTTTGTGGCTGCTATCTTTGTTTCAGCTCTAAAAGGAGAATCTGAGTGGGAAGGGCTGCCGTTTCCCCCCATCCCACAGACTAATTGCTGTGGGGACACTGCAGAAGAAATCAGGGAGGCCTTGCCACGGGAATCCTACAGTCCGCTACAAACACACACAGGTCCGATGATGGCAGGAGTGTGGTGTGAGCATTCTCACCAACGCTCACACTCTATAGCTTGTGGGGAAGCTTCTTGCAGGCAGATGGCAGAGGGTTAGCTATGTCAGGGTGCAGGGAATCAACCACCAGGTGTGATTTCCCTTCTCTGTTGTGTGATAGTGTCCTTGCAGAGGGAAACTGAGGCGGGCGGGGCAGCTCAGTGCCATGAGGTCACCGGGTTTCTTGATCTTGTTGCTTCGCTCCACTGTTCTGTAGGAGCCGTGTGAGGCCCGGGTCACGGTCACTTAAGCAGTGAAAGGTCTGAGGCGCACACAGCACAGGTCTAGAGGTGGCTCATGCATCCTCTGGGCTAGAACTTTGTTACCCGACCATTTCTGGTTACAAAACCTTCCAGAACCAGATGTGGTGATGCTTGTTTTTAATCTTAGCACTTGGGGGTGCGGAGCAGGCAGAAGCAGGCAAATCTGTATGAGTTTGAGGCTAGCCTGGGCTGCATAGTGACACACTACCTTAAGATATAAAAATAAAGGAGGCCAGAAAATGTAGTTCGAGGGCAGGGGGACAGAAGCTTAATGTGGGCAGAAGTGGGTAATGGCTTGGGCCTTAGCAAAGGAACAATGGAAACATGGAAGGAGAGAGATCTGCTCTCCACAGACAAACACTGTGGCCCCAATCATGCTCCCTCCTCATGAACTGAGAGGAGGAGGAGGAGGAGGAGGAGGAGGAGGAGGAGGAGGAGGAGGAGGAGGAGGAGGAGGAGGAGGAGGAGGAGGAGGAGGAGGAGGAGGAGAAAGAAGAGGGAGAAGAGAAGAAGAAGAAGAGAAGCAGCAGCGGCAGCGGCAGCGGCAGGGAAGGCACAAGATGCATTGGAGCCAATGCTCACCCAACATTGCTGTAGCTTGGGGTGTATGTAGGGGTTGTGGTCCATCAGTGGGTGACTGGAGGGAGGTCTCGGCATTTCTATTTTCTAAAAAAAACATGGTTTTAAATATTCACATCTTCTTATCTATTGCTAAGTTCAGAATTGTCAGTCAGACATGAAAATGCTTTTAAGCAAGTCCTTGGTAACCTCTAAATGAATCTTGGTGAGTTTGACATCTCTCTGTCCAAACCTGAGACCAAAGGGGCCTCACACACTTCCAATCACACTCGGCACTCATAGGCTGGCTAGCCAAGACAGTCACAGCTCTCATCAGCCACAGAGGATGTGTGGTGTGAGCCTTCAACTCTCCTTAGAAGATTTAACCCTGAGCCAATAGCAAGTGAGATGCTATCAGAGTCCTGACTTCTCCGGGGTGTGCGGTTTCCAATGGTGATTTTGTAATTCCACTGATTGGCTGCTAGAAAGTTCGATTTATAGCTACATTAATTTAGTCTCCTAGCAAGCCCCGCACAGCCTGGATTTCATGGAAAGCCTGGCCTGAGGAAGGGATGGCCGCGTAAAGAGTACTCGGGCACTTCCCACTGAAAAATTATTAGGGGCGTTGCCTTGTTGCTTTCACTGCACAAAATGGTTTTGGCGAGGCTTTACCTAGGTCTGTCTTGAATGCTGTGTTGCTCTGACCTGGGCTTTGAACATGTCAGTGAACAATTCTAGGTGCTGGCATGGATGGGCAGGTGTTAGCCAGGCTAGGCTCTGCAAACACAGAGTAGACAGCCCTAAACTTCAGAGCGCTTGTTCTGGGCTAGGTGGTCTGTGACGTGGCAGGTGGGGCCGGCAGATAGCAACAGGTATTGACACAAATGGTGTGTCAAGTGTTCAGACAGCAGGCCACAGGAGCCTGGAAAGAGAGTGTGGCCGGCCTTCTGAAGGGCTGGGTCTGAAAGGTTGAGTAAATAGCACAAGGAATGAACAGAAGAATGTTCTGGGCAACAGGAACAACTAAGTAGTCACACAGAAGTGAGGGGGCGGGGTGCGAGGTTAGATAGTGTAAGGATCTCAGAATGGTTCTAGTTTGCGGGAGGATGGGAGGAAGAGCAGAAGTGGGCTGGTGTTTGCCACAGTGGGTGTTGAAATAAGAGCGGCGGGGCTGCGTCCCCAACACCCCGGCCGCTTGGCTAGCTCATGCCCGAAATAACAACACACAAACTGTATTCATTTAAGAACTGCTTGGCCCATGAACCCTAGCCCTTACAGGCTAATTCTCGCACCTGGACTAGCCCATTTCTAATGATGTGTGTAAGCACCCCAAGGTGCGCTTACCGGGAAGATTCTAGCCTACATCCATCTTCATCGTGTGTGCCTCAGAGAGCAGAGCTATCACGTCTACCCGGGAGAGCTGAGCATGGCGTCTGTGCTCCTGAGCTGTCGGCTCTCTCCCCGGAAGCAGAGCAGAGTCTGACCTCACTTCCTCTTCCGCCCAGAATTCTATTCTGTTTACTCCTCCCATCTATGTTCCAAGCCATGAGGCCAAGCAGCTGGTTTATTATAACTTAACCAATGAAATCAACAGATTGATATATGACACTCCCACATCAAG